TTTTTGCCACACATCTGTGCCAAATAATGAACATATTTGCATAATGAACATAATGAACATTTCTGGGTGTGGTGATATTCAACTTTGCTCCCAGTACTCAGAAACCAGAAGCAGGAGAAATAAGAGTTTACAGCCACCCTGGGCTGCTTAGCAAGCTCCAGGCCAACTTGAACTACATATGGAGACCTGTCTAAAAAAGAGAGAGTGGAGTGCTTAGAAGGATAGCTCGGTGCTTGCCATACAAACAGAAAGATCTGAGTTCCACCCCCAGAATCCACATGAAAAAGACAAGCAAGGCAGCATGCCTATGACCGCAGCACTGGGGATGGGGAGAGAGGAGGATCCCTGGGGTTCAGTGGCCATCTAGTCTAGCCGAACTGGGGAACTCATGGTTCACTGAGAGACCCTGTCTCAAAAAAAAGAAGTTTGTGAGCAACTGAAGAAAACATCTGACTTCCACCTCTGGCCCCCACATGCATGCATATCCACTTGCCACACACATGGGGGAGGACACACAGAGGAGAAACAGAGAAAGAAAAACAGTAAGATGTGGGGGGTCCAAAACAGCTTGACTACACAGCTGCCAGGACAGCCTTACTGGCAGGCTACACCTGGATCCAGGAAAAGCCATAACTAGCACCACCCAGGAACGGGCCAGCACCTAAGGGGAAGTACCTGACATTCCAAACATTCCAGATGTCCCTGAGACCAGTACACACCTATTCCCCCTTTTGCCAAGACACCCCTAGACAAATGTCAGCCAATCAGGGGTCCTGAACCCTGGAAATCCGCTCACCCCAAACTTTGCTATGATAAAAACCCTACCCCACCCAGAGGTGCTTTCTCCTCTCACTGCTGCATTGGACAGACAGAGAGTCCAAGCTCAAGCTTGCAATAAAGGCTCTTTGCTTTTACATAGGACATTCTTTTTGGTGGTCTTTTAGGGGTCCCCAAGATCTGGGCATAACCAAGAGAGAAGGGACAGAGGTTGAGACGGGGTGGGGGCAAGTGAGAGTTGAGGGGAGAGAGGAAAGGTAAGAGGTGCTCCCATGAGCAAGCACACTGAATGGCGCAGTATCTCCCAGGTCTTAGCAAGGCCTTTGGATTTCACACTGGAGAACTGAGAAAGCTACGGCTCATTAACAAGGTTTTATATATACAGCAGTTAGATTTGAAACTAAAAGACAGTGTTCAACTTGTGTGATGGGTATTCCAGCATCTTTTATGGTAGACCCTATTATTTACCATATGTAGACCAGGCTGGCCTCAAAGTCACAGAGATCTGCCTGGCTCTGCCTCCCAAATGCTGGGATTAAAGGCACAAGCCACCGTACATGGCTCTGTCTCAGAATTCTGAGGAGTTAGAACTACAGTTGCACACCACTGCGTACAGTACAGATTAACCCCATAATTTTAAATGGCCATGTCCTGATTTCATTTCTGGTTGCTATGACAAAATATCCTAACAATGAAAACAAACATCATCACAGAAATGCTTCATGTTTTACCACAGAGCAGCTCACAGTAGAGCAGGGGTGAGATTGACTGCCTCTTAGGTTTTCGTTTGTAAATCATTTATTTATTTATTAGAGATTTATTTATTTATTATGTATATAACATTCTGTCTCCATGTGTGTCTGCACACCAGGAGGGGGGGCACCAGATCTCATTAAACATGGCTGTGAGCCACCATATGGTTGCTGGGAATTGAACTCAGGACCTCTGGAAGAATAGCCAGTGTTCTTAACCCTCTGAGCCATCTCTCCAGCCCTATTTATTTATTTTTTAATTATTGAAGCCATGTATGGAGGCACAAAACTGTAAGCTCACCATTCTGTAGGCTGAGAGGAGAATCACAAGTTTGAGATCAATCTGATATATATAATAAATTCAAGACTAGATTAGCCTCAAAATAATAACATCAGGGCTGGGGAGATAACTCAATAAAAACCTACATTTTTTTTTTTCCGGAGCTGGGGCGGAACCCAGGGCCTTGCGCTTGCTAGGCAAGCGCTCTACCACTGAGCTAAATCCCCAACCCCAAAACCTACATTCAAAATGACCTACATTCTGGCCCCAGAGCTCATATAAAAATGTAAGTTGTCAAGGCAGGCAGATCTCGGTGAGTTTGAGGCCAACCTGGTCTACAGAGTGAGTTCCAGGACAGCCAGGGCTATTACACAGAGAAACCCTGTCTCAAAAAGCCAAAAAAGCCGGGCGGTGGTGGCTCACGCCTTTAATCCCAGCACTCGGGAGGCAGAGGCAGGCGGATCTCTGTGAATTCGAGGCCAGCCTGGGCTCCCAAGTGAGTTCCAGGAAAGGCACAAAGCTACACAGAGAAACCCTGTCTCAAAAAAACAAAAAAAAAAGCAAAAAAAATAAAATCATCATCATCATCATCATCATCTTTGCCAGGTGGTGATGGTGCATGCCTTTAATCCCAGCACTTGGGAAGCAGAGGCAGATTGATCTTTGTGAGTTCGAGGCCAGCCTAGTCTACAAAGTGAGTTCCAGGACAGCCAAGGTTGTTACACAGAGAAACTCTCAAAACGAACAAAAAAGTCAGGTGTGGTAACACATTTGTAATCCTAGCTCTGGGGAGGCATATAAAGGGGACTCCCTGGAGCTCACCTAGCAGCTGGCCTAGCCTAATTGGTGAGTTTCATGCTAGCTTGGGCTACACAGCAACACCTTGTCTCGAAAAACAAAGCGTTTTGAAGAGAATTTTCTATTCCAAAATATGAAAGCTTGGCCTACTTCACAAGTTTAGCCTTGCTTGATCTGAAATAGTGGATTAAAAGGTGTTGCATTAGCTTTTCCTGGGGAGATGTGACCGAGTGTCTGTTTTCTCCAGGGTACAAACATTATACTGAAGAAGGACTTCTCCCCAGGTCTAACTTGCTTACTGACAGGTGTATGGATGAGGGATTATCCACAGCAGTTCCTCCCTGAGGTTTCTGCCAGGCCTCCCAGGTGGTCTCGTGAGCGATCGTGAGCCCGCCCTTCTCTCCAAGGGCACGTGTGTTAATAGGCTCAACCTTGTGAGGAGCTCAGAGGTAATCATTGTTTGCTCTGACTTTAAGATAGCAACAGCTCAATCATTCGTGGGGGACAACATCTCACAACGAAAGGAAAGAGTTTGGATTATTTTAGAACAGCTACATAAGAAAAAGGAAGCTAAAGACAGCAGCTCGTGTGTCTCTGAATTTAGTACCTAACTTAAAATAATATGTCAAGGGCTGGAGAGATGGTTCCACTGTTAAGAGCACATGCTGCTCAACCATGAGGGCCTGAGTCCAGATCCCAGCACCCAGGTCCAGAGGCTCACAAATGCCTCTAACTTACTAAGCTCCAAGGGCTTCAACACCCTCTTCTGGCCTCCACAGGCAGCCCTGCAAACATATGTTGGCATAAATTTATACAGACACATATGCACATATGTAAATTTAAAAATTTAAATAATAACATTAAAATTAGGGTACAGAGGGTAACTGAAGGTACAGAAAGTAACGGGGCTCCTGCCCTCCACCACTGGGTGAAAGAAAGGTGGCCCAGATGTGGAATAAAGGATCCCAGAGATTCTAACACCAGAATCCTCCTGACTGGTGTGAAACTTTGAGCCACTGACTTCTTCTCTGGAGTCTGAATTAAATCATCAATTAAATGGTGGGTTCCCTCTCACCACTGGGCTTTGAAACAAACCTTAGTTTTTGTTTTGATTTCCCAGGGAACACCTATTCACCCAAAGCACCCATTCAGACATTACCTCCTCCTAGGAAGCTTTTCTGCCTCCGATGGGATTAAGGGCTCCACCCTCTGGAATTCGAAGAGAAATGTCTAGCACCAGGTTATTTGCTTGCTTTCAGCTCCTCCCAGAGCCCAAACAGTTGGAAACTCAGAAGTGGCCACTACTCTATAAATTCATTTAAAATACACGTGAGGGAAGAGTGAATAAATAACAGGTTCCTTTCCCTGCTTTTGTACTTGCTCCACACACGATTCCATAAATGATCTTGGGGTGTAAAACCATAAGCAATTCAAATATGTGGTGGTGTTTTGATGAAAATGTAGAGTTTGTTCTTTCAAAAATGTTCAATTGCACCGAGGTGTCTTCAATAAAGGAAAACGTTGGTTTTTAAAGTAACTCAGTGAAAATAGGCTGGGCATTTTGTTTTACTTTTTAGTAGTACCTAACTTCTTAAGATGCCCAATAAATGTTTGGGGTTTGTTTTGTTGTTTTGAGACAGGGTTTCTCGGTGTTACGGCCCTGACTGTCCTGGAACTCGCTCTGTAGATCATACTGGCCTTGAACTCAGATCCACCTGTCTCTCTGCCTTCCCAGTGCTGGAATTAAAGGCCGGAGCCACCACCGCCCGGTTGCTTTTTGTTTGATTTTAAGTGATCTTCTTATAAAATAATGGTGTTCTTTAATCCGGAACGATCGAAATATTTACCGGGGACTCGGAAGAGAAAAAGCAAAGGGGTAAAGAAAGGGATAGACCAAGTCCTGGGTAGTTCCAGGCAAACTAGTTAGGCTGCTTTGAAACATTTCTTTCAAAATTTAGCGTTGTTAACAGTGAAGGTGCAGTCTGAGGTCGGAGGTTGACATGTAGCACACACATACACACACACTTTCTCGTTTGTTCTAAGTCTTCTAAACGGTCCGTGGAGACTCATTTCCCCCAGCAGCATTTCGATTCTGCGCCCGACCTCGAGACAGCCCCGGTGTCCGGGTCCCGCACAGCAGGCAGGAGGCGGGCGCGCTCGTGCACCGAGCTCCAACCCCGCCAGGTGACCGACTCGGCCCCGGGACGACTTAAGCGCCACGGCGCAGCCGCGGACGGACGCCGGGCCTTTCCGGCAGATGCGGCCTTAAGGAGGTCGGAACCAGGCTCCCAGGGCGTGGGAGCGGCGGAAGAGAATAGCTGCAGCACCACCCTCCGTGAGGCCAGGAGCAGAGGCGGAAGCGACGGGCTGACTGAGCTGGGGGAACTTTGCCTGGATGGCACTTTCCTGTTCTCGAGCCCGCCCCCGGCGGAGGGGCTCGGCTCCGGGATCCAAGATGGAGTCGTTGAGTCGAGCAGGGCAAGAGATGAGTCTGGCGGCCTTGAAGCGACACGACCCCTATATCACCAGCATCGCAGACCTTACGGGCCAGGTCGCTCTGTACACTTTCTGCCCTAAAGCCAACCAGTGGGTGAGTGAGGCCCAGCCGCGGCGGGGATGCCAGCCTGGCCGCTGTCGCCTCTTAAAGGGGCCGCGCAGGCAGTTTAGGATTGGGGGTGGGGGAGTGAAGCAGGGGACTGGGACCGCTAAGGCGAGGCCAGAACCTCTCCTAAAGGCCCGGGCAGAGCCAAAGGGCTGACACGCGGGATTGGAGGAAAGAAGCTCAAGAAGCAGGCTAGAGGCATAGCAGGGAAAATCAGATGGAGGGGAGGAATGAGGCAGGATCAGTCCTTTGGGCTCGGTTCTGGGGACTTGAGTGGTTCACCTCCTTTACATGTTGCATTGGAAGGATATAAGACAAGTTGGATTTTTTTAAAAAGTGACTGAAAACCTATGTTTGAGACGTTGAGAAGTATTAGGCAAATTACATGTATTTAATTGCAAAGTCCACCCCTCTCCCCCAACCGACCTAAATGAGATGATAGGGTTTGAAGCTTAAAAATCAGTTTCAAGAGTTAGTCCAGCTTCAGTCGAACTACTCTCTATCTCCAGAGTTTGGGGAAAGATTTCAAGGCATTTTGGGAAAGGGCTACTACAGTAAGAATTTGATTCCGTGGAGCCCTTTTGCAGGGAAAAGACACCAGTGATACATCTCCTTGATGGCTCACATCTGAGTACTTTTTGAATTTTGTGAGTGGCGATGGAGTTCCAAAAAAGTTACAGTGCCTACTCACTGACTCTGGTTAGCCCCAACTTAAAGCACCTGGAGCTGGTCACATGATTTTCCATTTTCTTGTGCTCGACTCTTCCTAATTTATTCATTCAGCTGTAGAAGCTTCATGATTTTTGTTTGTTTGTTTGTTTGGTTTTTCGAGACAGGGTTTCTCTGTAGCTTTGCTCCTTTCCTGGAACTCACTTGGTAGCCCAGGCTGGCCTCGAACTCACAGAGATCCGCCTGACTCTGCCTCCCGAGTGCTGGAATTAAAGGCGTGCGCCACCACCGCCCGGCTGAAGCTTCATGCTTTTTTGTTTTTTTTTTTTTTTTCCGTTTTTCGAGACAGGGTTTCTCTGTGTAGCTTTGCGCCTTTCCAGGGACTCGCTTGGTAGCCCAGGCTGGCCTCGAACTCACTGAGATCCACCTGGCTCTGCCTCCCGAGTGCTGGGATTAAAGGCGTGCGCCACCACCGCCCGGCAGCTTCATGCTTTTAATGGGCAACCGTTGGTTGGATAGACTTGATCAATGATTGTCGGTCACACTTCAACAAGTAATGAGGCCCTTAAACTAACAAAAACGTTGAAGTATTGTTGTAACTTTTATTCAGTGTGATACTGATACATAGATGTAATTTTGTGGAAACTTATTGTCACTTACGAAAGTTACTTGAGAAGAAGTTTCCATAATTTTCCTCCTCCTTCTGGAAGAGAAAAGGATATAGGAAGCCACCAAGAGTGAAATTATAAACTGTTCTACCCTTGTACCTCTTTTAAACAGGGCCTTAGCTTGAAGTATTTTGCATTGTTTTTCTTTGCTCGATCTATGTATGAATTTGTGAAATAGGAACTGCAGACAAATGGTGAGAATTTGTAGGTAGCATTTGTTACTGTTAGCTATTCATAGTTTTTCACAAAGGCTTACAACACTTGAGGATTTGAACCATGGAGTTGTGTAAAATGAAAACTAAGCTGCTGTTTATTTGGATCTTGATACATGGTGCGTCCACCATCTTTTCTCATAGTGAGTGGTGAGTTGTAGCTTTGCCTAATGTGTTTCGGGAGGCAAGTTTACTTTTACTGAGACAACTGGCTGCCATTTTCTTCTAATGAGAACACTTTTAAAGGCAAGAAAAGCCCTCAAGAAGGGAAAGTTTCATCGTGGCATAAAAGACTTGTATAAGAAACAGATCTTATTTATTTTTAATTTTTTATCACAATAAATTGATATAACTAACCTTAAATTTTGGTAATTTTTTGGTTACATTTAAAAATATCAAGATACAATGTAGGCCATGAACTCCGGACTGATAGGATTATTTTACTTTAGAAAAAAATTAAAAGCACCACGAGTGTGCCTAAAACCTGAGTAAACTTCTTTGTTTTTTTGTTTTGTTTTGAGACAGGGTTTCTCTGTGTAATAGTCCTGGCTGTACTGAAACTCACTTTGTAGACCAGGCTGGCCTTGAACTCACTGAGATCCGGCTGCCTCTGCCTCCCAAGTGCTGGGATTAAAGGCGTGTACCACCATTGCTCAGCCTACCTGACTAAACATTGATACAACAAATGAAAGAATACTAATAGGTTGTATTTTCTTGTTTTATTTCTTGCTGTGCAGAAGATCAAACCCAGGGCCTCATGATGCTGTGTAAGCATCATACCTCTACCACTGGGTTATATAGCCAGCCCAAGTTACAATTTCTTAATCAAAATTTCAGGTGCTTATTTTAAAAACCTACCAGAATTGCCTGAGTCAGAATGGTTTCTATCCATGATAATAGAAAAAAGTAAAAAGTTGTGTTTGGTAGTAGTCCTTAACTAACCACAAAATGTGTTACTAATGAAAATAATCCTAAATTCTCCAGAGATGAAACAAAGTATCTTATAAGAAAATTTCTAGAAGGTTAGGGATTTGGCTCAGTGGTATATAGCTGTGCATCATTAGCCCAGGGCCTGAGTTCAACCCTGGTATCAGTTTACTTTCTTTTTCTATTAACTTTGATAGACTTAAAGTTTGGGTTTTGTTGTTTTTGATTTTGATTTTGTTTTTTTGAGTTGCAACACAAAATACTTTGACTTGATATTAAGATACCTGGTTGAAAGGTTTTAGCTTTTGCAAAGTTAAAGCTGGGGCTGGAAAGATAGCTCAAGTAGTAGCTAAGAGCATTGAACCCGGAGGACATATCAGCTCACCTCCATCTGTAACTCCAGTTCCAAGGGATCCAATGCCCTCGTCTATCTTCTGTGAGCTCCAGGCCCACACATGGTGCACAGACTTATGTGCTGGCAAAACATGCATGCACATTTTTAATTAAAAGTTAATACATAAAAATAAAAAGTAAAACTAATTCTGTTTGTTGTTTTGGTTTTTTTTTTGGTTTGGTTTGGTTTGGTTTGGTTTTTTTCCAGACAGGGTTTCTCTGTGTAGCTTTGGAGCCTGTCCTGGATCTCACTCTGTAGACCAGGCTGGACTCAAACTCACAAAGATCCGCCTGGCTCTGCCTCCCGAGTGCTGGGATTAAAGGCGTGCGCCACCACCGCCCGGCTTGTTTTGTTTTTTAATGTTCCTTACTGTTAAAATAGAAAAATGCGCCGGGCGGCGGTGGTGGCACACGCCTTTAATCCCAGCACTCGGGAGGCAGAGCCAGGCGGATCTCTGTGAGTTCGAGGCCAGCCTGGGCTACCAAGTGAGTTCCAGGAAAGGCGCAAAGCTACACAGAGAAACCCTGTCTCGAAAAACCCAAAAAAAAAAAAAAAAAATAGAAAAATGCTACAGATGTAGACATGCTGGGCTGGACGTTGCATACACTCATATAAACACCTATAGAGTTGAATGGATGCACAATTTGTAAAGAACCTGAGGTACCCACATAAAAAGCTGGGTGAAGTATTGTGCTCCTCCAATCCAGCACTAGGGAAGTAGAGGCAGGTGATTCCCTGGGGCTCACTGACCAGCAAGCCTAGCTTAATTGTCTGGCCTCTGGCCAGTGAGAGACCCTGACTCAAGAACAAGATGGACAGTTCCTGAGGAGTGACACCTGAGGGTGACCACTGACCTCTACACAAACACCTGCATGCGCACACACACACACACACACACACACACACACACACACACACACACACCCTCTCTCTGTCTGTCTCTGTCTGTCTGTCTTGGTTTCACAATAAATAAAACAAGTTGGTCTGAAAGCATTTCTTCTCCACTAAAACCATTTGCCATTGGTTTATTAGTGGAAAACTAACAGAATTATTGTCTGTTACAGGAGAAGACTGATATAGAAGGGACCCTATTTGTGTATCGAAGGTAAGTTTTTAAGTCTGTTTCTATTTCACTTGAATGGGGCAGTCTCTTGTAGCATGGTCCGTTTCTGGTGTGCTTCTTTGGAGCTGTCCTGTCTCCTTCCAGCTTCATCCATGCAGGCTGTGCACTCCCTACCCTAGCTGCTTCTCCACTCAGCCTGACACAATTATCTCGGGATAGAAATCCTTTTCTAATAACGCATCCCAAAGAGAGGCTGCCCAGCTCTCCCATATTAAAGAGGATGAACATAGGAATGTCTGTGGATACAGTACATGTTAACTATAGTAGTTGAGACGTCAGTCTTGCTGATCTGCAGTTTCTAATGAGAGTTTGTCGTCTATGACTGGTTCTGCTCCTTTCCCACGTCTTCCCCAAAGTTCTGGGTTATATAGTCTTTATCATATCTATTTTAGTTTGAGAGTTTAGAATGCCTAGGGTGTTCATAATTGTATATATATTTACTTTAAGCTTCTGAAAATTCTTTAAATTGTTAATTTGCAATGGTTTACAGCATTGCCTTGTTTGGACAGACCACAGGATATGACTGTCATGGGACACTTGTCTTTGGAGATGCCTATAGGGCTTGTTCTTAGAGGCACATCTGTGGGGCGTCTACCCACCACCCCCACAGTTCCCCAGAGTTTTCTTGAGTGCGAGCAGCAGGAAATATTAGATAGAAGGATTTATTGCGGAGAATATCGCGGAGATAAACAGATAGAAAATAAAGGATAGCCTTGAGAGGGCCTGGAACCTATTCCAACGGCCCCGACTGTCTCTGCCCCAGGGTTTTTATAGAGATGCCAAGGGGTGGAGCAAAAGACCTCCTCCCCCAGCACAGCCAAGTGCAGACCATCTCAGACACCTGCACTCAGGCCCGTGGTCCTAATCATCCTCTATGCGGACCTGCTGGGTAAAGCCATGAGGAACCCGAGAACGGGCTCCCACACACATCCCTTGTTTTCTAGAACTTGGGGTGGTGGCAGCAAGATGATTGTCTGGTTCTGTTTGTATTGAGT